AAAAGAAATAGAAGAAGACCAAGAATGGAGGACATCCCTGCTCAATGGATGGAAGAAAACATTATTAAAATTGCCATCCTTCCAAAAAGCAATATACAGATTCAATGCTTTTCAATCAAAATTTCAATGTCATTCTTCAAAGAAATAGAAAAATTATTGATGAACTTCATATGGAATCACAAAAAACCCCGAATAGCCAAAGCTCTCCTGAAAAAAAGAAGGGAATGGAGGCATTCAGACTCCCAGACTTCAAACTATACTACAAAGCCATAATCATCAAAACGCATGATTGGACAAAGAACAGACATACAGACCAATGAATCGAATAGAAAATCCAGAAAATAACCACAGATTTATGGTCAACTAATCTTTGACAAAGGAGCAAAGACTATGCATTGGAGCAAGAAAGTTGTTCAATAAATGGTGCTGGGAAAACTGGTCGCTACATGCAAAAGAATGAAGCTTGACACCCCTCACACCATACACAAAAATCAACTCAAAATGGATTAAAGAACTAGACATAAGACCTGAAACCATAAAATATATAGAAGGAAATATAGGCGAAACACTACGTGATTTGCACATCAAAGACATCTTTACAGACACATCACCCAAAGCAGTGATAGTGAAGGCAAAGATAAACAGCTGGGACTATATCAAATTAAAGAGCTTTTGCACAGCAAAGAGACAATAACAAAAACAAAGAGAAACCCCACAACTGGGAGAACATTTTTGCACCCAACACTAATGATAAGGACTGATCACAAACTGCAAAGAGCTGATGAGACTCAACAACAACAAAGAAAATAATCCAGTCAAAAAATGGGCAAAGAGCTTAAAAGAAACTTCTCTGAAGAGGAAATGCAAGGCCAACAGGCATATGAAAAATGTTCAACATCACTTGTCTCAAGGAAATGCAAATCAAACTACCATGAGATACCATCTTACACCAGTGAGAATGGCACATATTAAAAAACTGCAACAACAAATGTTGGCGAGGGTGTGGAGAAAAAGGAACTCTTCTGCACTGTTGGTGGGAGTGCAAACTGGTCCAACACTGTGGAAGCTGTGTGGAGATTTCTGGACCTACTAAACATAGAGCTTCCATATGACCCAGCAATTCCACTCCTAGGTATTTACCCAAAGGACACAGAAACATCAACTCCAAAGAACACCTGCACCCCTATGTTTATAGCAGCACTGTTTACAATAGCTAAGCTTTGGAAACACCCAAATGCCAAAAAAGATGACTGGATCAAGAAGATGTGGTACATATATACCATGGAATATTACTCAGCATTCAAAAAAGATAAAACAATGCAATTTGCTGCCATGGATGGCGCTGGAAGGGATCATGCTCAGCGAAATAAGCCAAAAAGAAAAAGAAAAATACCGGATGGTCTCACTCATAGCAGGAATCTAGAAAACTTAAATAAGGGACCAGGAAAATGAAAAACTATAAGAAAGTGAAAATCAAAATCAACAAAAAACTATGAACCAGAGACACTTTTAGGGGGGCGGGGGCGGGAGGGGAGGGATGGGGTCAGAATGGGGGGCGGCAATTGTATGGGGAATATAACAAAATTTTAAAAAAAAAAAAAAAAAAAATAAAATAAATAATGTAGTTTTTAAAATGTTTCCATAATAAATTGTAAGTTTTGCTTGTTTGAGCATTTAATATTAATCACTTGCTCATTTATTCCACATTGTTTTTAAAAAGCTTGCAAGTGCTATAGCTCACTCATCTCTAGTCTAATAATATTTGAGTAATTTTCTATAGTATTCATTAATTGAATGGCTATCAATGTAGTCATTCTGTTGTCATTGAAAAGTTGAAACTTTTTTCAACTTTTTGCTGATAGATAATTTGATAAGTGTTCTTGTTTATTTCTTCTGGTATGCATTTATATTTCTCTAGGGTACTAACAGTGGAATTTCTTTCTTTATAGACTGTCTAACTTGATATGAAGATGTTAAACCAAAGTAATTAAATCAATTTATATTCCCATCAATAGTATATGAATATCAATCAATGAAAGTCCTTACTGATATTTGACAGTGTCTCATCTGTATTTTTCTACTTGAGCAGTTATAAAGTGTCTCACTGTGACCTTAATTTATGTTTCTGTGATTACTAATAAAGTTGAACATCCTTAAAAAAAAAAAAAAAAAATATATTTATTTTAGGTTCTCCCATGAATACTCCCCTTCCAAAAAAACTGAAAAGAAACACATGATCTAATATTAAAAAAAAAAAAAAAACTTTACAGTATATTTATCTCCCAAATTATTTCACTTAGATGAAGGTAAAAATGTATATTAATTTATAAATAAATATCCATCATCCATAGTAAGCAGAAGCTTTAGGTATGAGGAGAAAAAGAAAAACTCAGTAGAAACAATTTAGAGTTAAAAAAGTCATTACAAGTATATATGAAAAACACGACAAAAAGTAACCACAGAAGAAGAGCTTGTATGGTGTTAGGTGGGAAAGAAATAGTTAGGTGGAAAAGAAAAAACATGAAAAGGGCCGAGTTTCGGGTTATGAAATATACATCCTACAACTTCATTTTAACACATTGCATTAAAATCTGGCAATTTTTTTTTTCTGTAAAAAGCCAGAATAAGTATTTTCAGCTGGAAATGTTGTAGCTTAGAACCAGCCACAGACAAAATATAAACAAGGGTGGTGTGGCTGTGTGCCAATAAAGCTTTATTTTCAAAATCTGGAAGTGGGCCAGATTTGACTTCAGGGCAGTAGTTTGCCAGCCCTGGTCTATAAAGAAGCAAAATAAAGGACAATTTGGAATAAAGTATATCAATGCACATGGACCTATGATAGAATAGGCAGATTCCTATTCTATCCCCCAAGAACCAGACCCATAACCAGAATTTGAAATTTAAAATGTTCCTTTGTTGTCAAAGTTCTGTATCTCAATGAACTAAAATGCTTCTGGTGGATTCCTAATTTCCTCTAAAAATGGGACAGCCTACCTATTTTAAAACACCCAGAATGGCTTTTTTTTTTCTTCAATAAAAAATTTCTTAGGATTCAGAAAAGAGCTATCAAAAGTCAAGTTTTTATTCTAAGTACTTCTAAGTTGCTTCCCAGTTGATTATGTGAATAAAATCTGGATAAGTAGCCTCAAAGATGCATCACTTCAATAGAGGCTGGTTGTTGCTGAGACTCCCAAGGAATGTACAAACCAGCTATTAGATGGGAAAATGTCTAGAAGATACATGTGTAAATGTAAAATCAAGTGAACACTTCACATGAAGAGCGCAGTTGTGAAAAAAAGAAAATCTTTTTTTTTCTCTCTCTCTCTCCTGATATTCTCTTGTATATAAGGGAAAAATTTGGAAGGATAACTCTTTTCACCTCTGAGATGCAAGATTCCAAGTTTCAAAATGTTCATATTTTACTTTATCCGCAACATTATTCAATACTGTTTTACATTTCTTAGAGTAAGCATGCAATAGTTTTGGTTTTAAGATAAATGTGTTGAGCTTGCAATTGAAAAACTTATTGCCTTCATTGAGTCAATTTGAACACCAAAGTTTTTAAGTCTACTCACTCAAAAAGACTTTTACCCTCCCAAAAGAGAATCAAATGAGGAGTCTTTATACACACAACCCATGAGAGACCATCTTTGCATGTAAAGGTTGACAGCAGTAACCTACCTCAACTCCACCCATCCATTTGGGCTCATCAGGAAACTCAGCACACAAAACATCTTCTGACTGATCAGTCCCCAGGACGTGGTAGCAGAGCTTTTGGTGGAGATTAGTGGATGTCTCTGTGCCTGAAGGGGGTAAAAATGTACACTGAAATGCAGTTGGGGATTTTAAGAACGTCTATTCTATTCACATTGTATAACGCTAGAAACATTTAAAAAGTACCATGTTGTAGAATACAAGGTTCATATACAAAAGTTAACCACTTTCCTCTATGCCAGCAACATACAAGAGGAATTTGAAATTAAAATACAACACCAGTACCATTGACAAACCCCCCACAATAAACTACTTAGATATAAATCTAGCAAAAAATGTGTTAAGGGGCCTCCCTGGTGGCGCAGTGGTTGAGTGCTGGGTTGCAAAGCTGCCCGCAGCCTTTGCAGCACTGGTGCGATCCCTGGCTGCTCCCCAGCCACCGGAGGAGGGTCCCACATGGCGCGCAGACCTCTCCTGCCACCTGCTGCTCCCCTCAGCAGTGTACTTCGGTCCTTCTGCCTGCTCTGCTCCCCGCTCTGGCTCTGATGAATTCTCTCACCCTCCCGTGCTTCTGACTGTACCCAGTGCTTGTATGTATAAATAAATAAATAAATCTTGGAAAAAAAAAAAAAATAACGTGTTAAAGACCAATATGCGCAAAACTACAAAACTCTGATGGAAGAAATCAAATAGAGATGCTCCATGTTTATGGATAGGAATATGCAACATGTCAGTTCTTCTCAACTAGATCTAAGAGTCAACATAATTCCAATCAAAATCCCAGCAAATCATTTGTGCCTAGCAAAAAATTATTTCATGGATTCCAAAGTTCATGTAGAGAGGCAAAAAAAAAAAAAAAACAACCTCAGAATAAACAACAAAATATTGAAGGGAGTGAAAAAGTTGGAGGACTAACATTACCTGGCCTCAAGACTTAAATAAGTAATCAAGACAGTGTGATAGCAAATAAACAGACAAATAGATCAATGGAACAGAATAGAGAGGCCAAAGTAAGAGTGTATCAGATATGTGTATATTATATTCAACTGATTTTTAATTAAAAAAAAAAAGCACAGGCAATACCATGGAGAAAATATAGTCTTTTCAACAAAACAAATGGTGCTAGAACTACTGGACACTCACATGCAAAAAAAAAAAAAAAAAAAAGAGATATAAAGAAAGAGGGAACACTTGAACACAATAGAATCTTTGTGTAATAGAAGAACAAAGGTGTGTCCAGGAAGTTAACAAGAAGAAAAGTGTCAAGACAAATGGAACCAGTGGAACTAGATGACCTGAAACTTCTGATTTTAGGAAGAGATGCCATAGGGAAACTTTCTCATTATTCAACATCACTAAATATGTTGGCATTGTCAAAATAAAACAAAACACGTCCATGATCCCCTTATAAGAGGCAATACATTTGTGAAGGACTGATTACAGTAATGGTCCCAACATTTTACAACTCCCTATTTGCCCACCTCTTGAATAGAGACTAATCCCATGACTTGCTTTGGTTCACAGAATGCAGTGAAGTGACATTGTGCCAATAGCCAAGTCTAGGCCTCCAAGAAGCTGTGCCTTTCAGACCCCCCTCCCTTAATCCCGCTGAGCTACCATTAACAAACCCAGGCTAGTCTGCAAGGGGATGAGAGAGCACATGGAGCAGAGCCAAGGCCCCAGATGTGAAAGAACCAAGCTAAGACCAATCACTAACCTACAGATAGTGAGACATAAAACTCAGCTAAACCCAGAACTGCCTGGCCAACCCACAGATGCACAAGCAAAGACAAATGGTCATTAATATAAGTCATTAGGTTTTGGGGTGATCTGTCACACATCACTGTTAACTCAGAGCACTTTGAGGAAACCTGGTTCTAGACCAAACAATCTCTATACGGGGTTTAGTTTCTTCTTAAAATCATGTGAAACCATAATTTCTATTTTATGAAAAAGATACTTCATCTGAAGACTTAGCTTACCATCACTTTTTCCATCTTGTTGGGGATATGAATTGTAGAACATTCCCTTCCCATCATGGGTCCAGGCCATACAGCTGAACTTGACTCTTTCGAGCACATCTGGAAGCTCTTTGGCACCATCGACTTTCATGAACTTGATCGTTACCCAGTCGGAACCACTGGCACTTAGACCATAGGCAAAATATTCACCATCTTCACTGAATGCATAGCCTATGGGACACAGGAGAAATTCCCAAATGGTGAACGTGAGGACACAGCCCCTAGCCTTGCTCACTACCCTTGCTGCTATGTGACAAAGCTCTCTGTTATACTTGGAAGCAGATCATGATGAAAGAAGGAATAGGAAACTGACAGTTGAGGAATGCTGAAGGCTAAGCTTTAGGACCTTTATGACACTGGACAAGTTTCCTAACCAATCCAGGTCTTAGCTTCTTCATCTGTAAAATGAAACATTGGATGGTATCTAAGATATCTCCATGTTAAAATTTCTATAATTCAACAGGCAGTTCATTTAAAAGCAGAGCTTACCTGGGACTTTTGACATATTTTATTTATACTCCAAGACAAGGAGGGGGAAAAGGAGTAAAGAGGCTACTTTTAGAGTAATGAAATTATGTCACATACTATGTAACACAACTAAATTGGAGCCATTAGGTAATTTTTGGAATGGATTCCCAACTATTTGAAATCATTCGTCACAACCTCATTTTCTGAGCATTGCTGGCACTCGAGGATTAACATGCACACCCTCTGACCATACCAGCCAAGGTAAACAGTCTGGGGGCTTGCAAGGAAGGCTCACAGCACAAATTCCACAAATGACCAAAAAAAAAAAAAAAAAAAAGAAAAACAGTGCTATCTACAGACTGCTCCACCAGGTCCAAGTCTACAGTCAGGACAGACAGAATGTTTTAATCACCATGGAATGTTTCTTTACAAATACTTACATGTTTATATTGGCTTTTATCATTATGAAGTAAATATACCATTTGATACCAGACACTGATAACAGAGATTCCCTTTTATGATGCTTGATAAACATCACTGGGGGCTGAAAATTATCCTTACAAACCCAACTATTTTCAGAAACGTTCTACTATTTTACATGGAGTTTCTATTAATGGGAAATAAGTTTAAAATTTCACAAAACCTACTTATTAATACAATTAATTCCTATAATGTATCCAGGTTCACATATATGTAAATGCAGAAAAGCATCTAGAAGGTGACAGGGGAAAAAATACATTTTTCTCTACATAATATTGTAGTCTTTGGATTATTTAGATAGAATTAGAGCATTTTCAGGAAAAATTAATTACAATATTTTAACTTGAAATTTATAGTTAAGAAAAATAATATACTATCAAAAGAATCTGAATATCAACACTGTGACTTCCAGTAATGTCATTCTCAGAAAACCAAAGCTGAGACCAGATCCCCTGGCTGATTTCCCTTTTCGTCTATCAGGGCGGTGCATGATGAGCAGTCCTTTAGAGTTTCTAGAATGAGCATAACAGGAGATGGAACTTTGGTACAATGAAGTCTTTTGATGAGTTGCAAAATATTCTTAATTACTACATGAATACCTTTACAGGGTATAGTTTTGCACAGAACCCGTGAATTAAATTCATTTACAACTTTGTTCAAATTCATGCAAGAATAACTTGTAAGTTGGCTGACATTTTCTTTTTAATACTGATGATTTTTGATATAGGATCATCATTTTACATACAAAATTTATTTGGGGAAAGAAGAAGAGGACTACTAGATGACTAAAGTGACACCTTTATTAAATGACACCTTTATTAAAGTGTCTTTGCACAGATCTGTTGGAACAGGGCTCTTGAATTCCCACCTAATCAATTACAAAGCTTCACTATTCCAATTGCTCAGTTCTGCAGGGTTGAACCCCTCCTCCACCTATGCTTTTACTATAAAACAGGAGATGTCACAGAGAAAATGGTGAGCTAACTTCACTAAAAACATCAAGGATGCTAACAAGAGATGATTCTCAGAGTATACAATTATGAAATGACAGAACAGCCAATGTCCTTGCCCTAGAGGTAGTGCTTATGGCATAAACCTGAGGTAACATCTTTATGACTTGTGGCTGGTGTTATCTTGGAGACAGTTACTAAGGAGATATACAGCAACTACAAGCAAACATATCTATTTGGATTTTTCAATGTGCATCTTCAGGGGACAGGGTACCAAGTCATCCAATTTCTACAAGATTTGTGTCTTACTAATTCTAACATACCAATGGCTAATTAAATTTTAAAATGCTTATCACTTCTCTGCCCTGCAAAGAAAAAGATCTCATAAATTCTTTCATATGATTTATATTTAAAGTTGGAATATATATCATATAGCTTAAATTCCTCATAAGAGGATTAATTTTTTGCCAATCACAGATAGGTCTCAGGGATGCTATGAGAAAGGATAATAATATTCAAGATCCCAGAAACCCTAGAAGCTAATTTGAGTGTAGTGTGAATTATTCTACATTGCTGTTTCATGCCACCAGAAGAATGTGATACTTGTGTGCTCTAAATATACTGTGCAAAAATTAGCTTTCCTGACATTGTGTGTGCATCTGTTCTGCAAGCTGGTCTACATTCTGTCTGGTATTTCAAAGGAGGGGTGACTGCAAAATCAAGCTGCAGCGAAGGTTCTGGACTCCCTTGGGTAGCACTCACCTCGGAGTGCCACTGTGCCATCATCAGAGAGTATGTTGGGGTCAAGGAACACTCTGGCTTCACCTTCTAAGGAATCCTGTACATATAATACTCGTTGGTTCTGCAAACCTGTATTGTAAAAATAGAAATACCTGGGGACAGAGATGATCTGTATTTAGCTGTATAATTTTCTGTTTGTGGAGCAAAACCAAACACATACAACCAAAAAGAAAAAGAACAACAACATAAATAGTACAACTGCAAACAGGTCACATCCAGGACACTGGGATTAAGGAGGAAGGTCCCAACATCTTCCTACAGCTTGAGTTTTACCTGAATTGCTTCAGATATTCAAGTAACTTACTGTAATTTGGTATCTGAGCTAAACAGAAACAAAGCCTTGCTAAAATAAAAAAAAAAAAAGCAAAAAAAAAAAAGCAGTGACTTTTCTTTCAATGGAGAAGAAATTAGATTTTCTAAATAAATGCTGGTTCCCTTTGTTAGCCAGACTGCTAGGGACAGGGTCACCTTTTCTATGACAGGCAAAATTGCAAATGTTTTATGCTTTGGAGGCCATATGGTCTCTGCTACAACTCAACCCTGCAGTTGTACAAAAGCAACCATGGTTAACACATAAACAAATGGACGTGGTTTTTTCCTCACTAAAATTTTGTTTATAAAACCAATTGGTATGCAGGGCTGAGCTTGCAGATCATAATTTGGTGATTCCAGCAGGAGGAGGTGTCTAAGAAATTCTAAAATAAATTTGTGATGGGTGGCTCCAAAGAGACTTAAAAAAAAAAAAGGAACAAGAGAAAGAGTTTAACTGGGTGTGAAAGGCAAAGGAACAAGAGAGCTAAATTATTAGGTGCCACTTCTTGGTCCATTTCCATTCTCGGATAGAAGAAATGCATATAATAACATGTTTTCTAGTAGTGTAAGTCAATGATAAATTCACAGGCAAATAAATCTCCATTGCTGTCTATAAATCCTAACTCACAAATTACTAGCCACCAAGACAACTAGCCACCTCAAGACAAGAATAACTCCTACAATTTAGATTTCTTCCTAGGATATAATGCCAAGTAAATTTCTCCATCTTAAAGAGTTTGGACAATAGCCAACAAACAATAAAATATTCCTCATATTCAAGCAAGAAAATAATTGAGTCTAATGAAATTTCATAACCTCTAGGTTATTTAGAATTTGTGTTTTATCATTTAAGAAAGCAGTCCATAAGAAAAGGAAAATTAAATGAAAGCAACCTGACATACCGTTTTCCCTTCTTGAAGTGGCAACTATACTTGGGATAGTCATACAGCTCAGTCATTCTCTCTTTGTATAAACCTCTGATAGGACACTGTTCAAGAAATGGCACAGTAATCTTGTTCTGGGCTTCCACGAAAGCCTGTAGTGAAAATTTCAATGGGTAAAGCAAGTCAGACATAAAATTTTCTATGTGGAAAGTTATTTATTAGTATGTATCAGTAAAAGCATATTTTCCCTCAATAAATAATATCTAATGCTAACACGGCACTATCTACCAAGGAAACATTAATTCATTTAGTACTCATAATTCTATGAAAAAGATTCTTTTATTAGCCCAACTATACAAAAGGAGAAACTGAGGCTCAGAATAATTAAAAAGTTGTTCCAATATCACACAGCATAGAAGTGTAGTTGGTTCCAATTTCATGAAACTATACTGCCACTCAGATCATATACTGTCAGACTACATTCACAGAGTCAAGGTTTCAGGCTTCTTAGCAGCCAGGGATCAGAGAAACAGAGGCACTATTTGATCAATTTTATTTTTAACTTACTAACTTTTATTTATTTTATTTTTTAAAGGTTTATTTTTATTTATGCATACAAGAGCTAGGGTACAGGCCAGAGATGTGGAGGGTGAGAGGACTCACCAGAGACAGAGTGAGGAACAGAACAGGCAGATTGACCAAAGTACATTGCTGAGGGGAGCAGTGGGCCAGTCAGGAGAAATCTGCTGTGCCATGTGGGTATCTCCCTGGCCGGGATCAAACTTATGCTGCAGTGGCTGCAGATAGCTTCATAGGTTGGATAGCTTCATAGGTTGTGTCTTAACCCCTTGCACCACCAGGGAGGCCCTAAATTACTAACTTTTAAAGATGTGCACTCTTAATTTCACACAACTTTACTAAAAAGTGAAACTAAAGAATACATGAACAAAAAATGGGTGACTGAAATAGACTATCAACAACACTGGTTACAAGACTGGCAACATGGCCTACAGGAATTCTGGAGACTGGTGGCAAAGGAAGGGGTGGCTTTTACAAGGGGCCAGATGTATCCAAGTATATCCCATTTATAACAAAACAGTTATAAAATTTGTAGTACTATAAACACTTGGCCTCATAATAATTCAAAACTGTCTATTGGTAAGAAATGAAACAAGAATGTATCAGCTCTCCAGGAACAAGTAAAAACTTAGGAGAAAACTTTCAGATATGAACATTTTGAATGGGTCCTTACTAGAGTCTACCTCAGGATGCAGCACCCAGGTCCACAGATACATCTGAGCTCAAATGATCTTTTCCTGGTCTCTTCTACGCACACAAACCGCCAGCCCTGCTCTAGGCAACCGCCATTCTGTGTGAGAGAAAGCTACTCTAAACTTTATTCATATTTATAATATACTTGAAAACAAGAGAGTAAGTATGAGTATAATGGTGAGCAACATTTTTTTTTGCAAAAGGATCAAGAAACACAACTTTCATGTGTCACATGGCTTATTTCATTCAAACAGAAGATAAAACTACATTGAAATGCAATTCCAACTGATTGCCAGGGACTGGCACACTTCACCCTGGCCTGCTTCCTGATGGTACTCGTGGTAAGAATAGTTGTTTTTACAGTTGGGGGAGAGGAGGTGCAGAGACCTATGTAGCTCACACCACCTAAGATATTTAAGATATAGATAGCCCTTTATGGAAAAAGTTTGCTCAACAATACTCTACCTCACTAAAAAGAATGTCAACATGGAAAATGGCTTTGTTTTTAGTGACAAAATCCATGCAGAGTTGTAAAGTCTCACCGGGGCAGGGGACTGAGGTGGACTCCATGTCTGATGCTGGATGTGGAAACAAAGCAGACCCACTCAGATGGAGAAGGGGGAGCAGCCTGTGCTTCCTATGATCTTCTCCTCCTGCTTTCTGGGATGGGTTGGGCAGGGCAGGCATGTCAGGGCACTGGAGTGTCAACAAAGTTTAATAAGAACCTGGTGTGTACTGTGGATAAAGGTTAGTAACAGGTCTAAGACTACGACCCTGCCACCATGGAGCTAACATTCAACAGGGCACAAAGCACAAGTCAGAGGGCTGCAGGAAGCAGCTGTCTTAAGGACATGCTACCCTGTGTGACATCCACAGCCCGCGCTGGTTCTGAATTGTTTGCCACCAGCCTATGATGAGCTGTATAAAGTGAATAATGTTGAATAATGTCATTTCATGATAATGCTGATGACAAAAAAAAAAAAAAATTCAGCTGACACTTAACAAGGACCAGCTTTGTCATGTCATTTTTGCTCAAAGTGGCAATTTCCAAGAAAGAACCCATGGAGAGTATCACATGAGGACTTGCAGAGAGGCTGCTATAAATGATACAACATTGCTTGATGTCTTTGTTACATTTTACAAAAATATCAATGCAGAGTGGTTTGGAAATTGAAAAAACAGGATTCACCATACCCTGGGCTGCATGAGCACAGAGAACCCCTACTTCAGGGAGGACCGCCTTCTGAGTTTTGCGGTGAAATCTAACAGGCAAGAGGGAATAGCCATGCAAAGACAGGGAATAGCAATGGCAAGCGGAGGGCCCTTGGGGGTTGGGAGCTCAGCAGTGTAAGCAGAATGAGGTGGCAAGTGAGGCTGGGAATGAGTGAAGAGGAAACACCAGCCAAGGGCAGACATCTAGTCAGGAGCGAGACCATGTGGCACCAGGTGGGCAGATGGAAAAAGGCTGATTCTTATTCCTAAGTGCAACAAGCTATGATTGATTGGGGAAGGAGAGTGTTATATTATCTGGTTTGTCTTTTAAAAAGACTACCCTGGCTTCAGGTAAACAATAAGCAATAGGAGGACAAAAGTGGGTCCAGAGAAGCCAGTTAGGGAGCCGCAGCAGTGATCCAGAGAGACAAAGCCAAGTGGATGACTAAAAGGAGTGGCTCCGGGCATCCCGCGCAGCGGTTAAGCGCTGAGTTGCGAAGCTGCCCGCAGCCTCTGCAGCACCGGTTCGATCCCCGGCTGCTCCCGACCACCGGAGGAGGGTCCCACATGGCGCGCAGACCTCTCCTGCCGCCCGCTGCTCCCCTCAGCAGTGTACTTCGGTCCTTCTGCCTGCTCTGCTCCCTGCTCTGGCTCTGGTGAATTCTCTCACCCTCCCGCGCTTCTGACTGTACCCAGTGCTTGTATAAATAAATAAATAAATCTTAAAAAAAAAAAAAATAAAATAAAAGGAATGGCTCCTAAAAGGAGTGGACAAGCCCAGAAACTGGAGTAGGAACAAAGAAAATGGGCACAGAGCCCATTTATGGGTAGCGCAGATAGCTATTTCTGTAGAAGGGCCTCCCTAGGACATTGTAGCTACTGAAGGCCCCACCCTGAGACCCCAGCTGGCTGAGTTCTGGCTGGCCCCTCCCCTTCCAAGAAGGGAGGGGGTCACCTGGAGAGGTAGCCCTGCAAACTTCATTCCCCTAATCCTTCTGGTTTATAAAAACAAATTATATGAGGCTATATTTGGGGCTTAGCCAGGTTCCAGGGTCATTGTGGGAGAGAGCCCTGGAATGCTCAGCTCATTTTCCTCTGAAAGTTGGGGCTGTGTGCTGCAATTGTTTCTCTATTTGCTTTGCTTCTTTTAGAGGTCTCACGTACAACCACAACTGCTGCGACAGAATATGTCATGCTGAAGTGGACATACTGGCATTTCTCGTTAAAATAGTCAGAAAACTGTTAACCCCAGGCATGATAATGTTCTTAAATAACTAAATAACTCTGGGCCTCCCTGGTGGCGCAGCGGATGAGTGCTGAGTTGCAAAGCTGCCTGCAGCCTCTGCAGTGCAGGTTCTATCCCCGGGCCGCAGGGCGAGGGTCCCACATGACGCGCAGACCTCTCCTGCCTGCCGCCGTGTACTTCGTCAGTCTGCCTGCTCTGCTCGCCCCTCTGGCTCTGGTGAATTCCCTCACCTTCCCGCACTTCTGACTGTACCCAGTGCTTGTATAAATAAATAAATAAATCTTAAAAAAAAAAAAAAACACCTAAATAATTCTAGGATTGTTTCATCCATTTTTGTCACCTCCCACCCACAAATGTTAGTCGATTACTTTAAGTACAGTAATATTTAAAGACTGCATGCTTCCAACTCAAACATCTAGATGCAAATCCAAACAGTGTTCAAATTCCTAAAAGTCTCACGTTCCTTCAGATCACACAGCATTATAACTTGGGCAAATGGTTTTCATGAAGGTGATAGCAACTATTCTATAAAAGGGCTTTGTGAAATTTAGGGCTTCATGGGATGCCAGTAATATTTCTGACATTTTAACCAGGGAAGTACCTTCTCGTTCATTTATGAATTTAATGCTTTGGATTTGTCAGAAAAAGTTGGGGGAAAGAGAAAAAGAATTAAGGATAAAGAAAAAAAATTTGGGGTCTCCCTGGTGGCGCAAGGGGTTAAATCTCAGCACTATGAAACTATCAACAGCCACTGCAGCACGAGTTTGATCCCCAGCCAGGGAGCTGACCCACATGGAACAGCAGACCTCTCCTGTCTCTCCTGCTGCTCCCCTCAGCAGTGTATTTCACTCAATCTGCTTTTTCTGCTCCCCACTCTGTCTCTGGTGAATCCTCTCACCCCCCACCCCCACCTCTGGCCAACACCCCAACTCTTGTATGCATAAATAAATCTTTAAAAAAAAATTGGAGGAATCACATGATGATAAGGTCCTCAAGGACCTTATCCTTGGTCACTCAAGGATATCATTAGAAAACTCCAAGTCCATTAACGACCCTGCAGCTGAGGCAATAAAGAGGACCATAGTATAGATTGTATAGCTATAGAGGAAACTGAACACATTTTCCTTATGAACCACAGCTGCTCAAAACTAAGAAATCCTATGCATATCTTATTTTGCCTGGACTATTTGACAGCTTGGAAGCAAAGCAATGTCTTGGTTATGGAAGATGACTAAGTTCTGGAGACCTGCTATACATTGTACCAATAGTTAATAACACTACATCATGCAAGCATAAAACTTTTAGCAGGGCAAATCTCTTGTTAAATTAAAAATCAACAAAAAACAAAGGTATCTGGCAAAGGGCGGCTCAATTTGGGAGTAAGAGATTTCTTCACCCTTACTTACAGTGCATGTGGGGGTA